AAGGTCGTTCACAATTTAAAAACCAACGTTATAATTATATAATAAACTGAAGGATAATGTAAATATTTAACATCATTTAGATGAATCGAAATATAACAGGTATTATAATTTAGGATTGCCGTTATAGCCATACTCTGACGTTTTTACAAGGCTGATATCTTGTTTTCGTAAAAAAAAAAAAAAAGAAAGAAAAACGAATTTGCTGAAAATCGCAATTTTCAAATAGAGTTTGCTTTATTGGACAAAATTTGATATTTTATTTCACACAATTTCCTTTCACGGGTAGTTTAAAAAAGGTCTTAGAAAATCTGTATTAAAAAAATTGTATTGACCGCAGAATATTATATTATAATAATATAATAATAGATGTTTACGAATAAACAATTTTTAAAAAACACATGAAGTAGCCAAGTCGGCTACTTTATTTATTGTTTTATTAAGACAGTCAGCAATATGGTTAGAAAATTCAAGTTTGAGTTAAATCTTTGATTATAAAATAAAAGTACGGATTTTGCTTATATTTACACTTTGTGAGTTTGCGGAAATGCAAGTATTTGATTGAATTAAAATTTCAATTTTCAAATATAAGTAAACAGAAAAAAAGTTTGCTAATATTTATTTTTATTAGTAATGAATGTTATACCTTTCTAGTATCTCCTCTAATTATACTGACCTGGTGGATCATGTGTTTTATAAATAAACACAACTATTCTAGATAGTAATATATATCATACTATATTGAAACTTATTATTCATAAAGTGGTGAGAATAGTCTAGTCGCCACCAGCCTCTCACCGGCGCATTCGCCAGATTTCAACGTCTGCAGACAGTAAAAGTCGAGTAATGATAGGGAAGGTTTAAATCGACCGATTTACTTTCAAGTTTCAATACAACACCTATAACCTTGAACACCACCCATATACATATACTCTCAGGGTCAAATGAAAAGTATATGATGACCGACAGTTGTATCCTACTATGAATTTGCAATATAATTAATTTTAGTGTACATTACTGTAATAAATTTCTGTAAAACATTATTCTATTAAAAATTATGTTGTGATATTACTACATACACTATCCAAAACAATTAAAGGTTCGTAAGTTAAAACTTTAATAGGTTTTTCTAAAATTGTGGTATTTTAATCATAATCGGTATGCGAACTTATCCACTATTAACCTTTAATTTAAATCTCGAATCATCTGAAAACATAACTTGGTTCCAGTTCACTAACTGCCAAAGTCGAACAAACAATAATCTCGCCTGATGATGGTCTCTGATCAATCTAAGTATTCTTAGTGGATATCGAAACTACAACTGCGACACATTCAACACTTGGCTTATACAGGGTGAGGCAATAGTGCGTCCAACTTCGATATGTCGAGTTCTATGTTAGCTAGAAACTTAATTTAAAAACATAAATAAACTAGACAAAAAGTCTATAACCGGAAATTATTTTCGAATATACAGGGTGAGCCAAGATTATTCTACAGGGTCAAGTAACATTTTTTTAAATGGAATGATTTTTTTTTGTTGAAATTATGCCATTTACACGTGTATATTAAAAAAATCACTACAGCCATAATTATCGATTTTAAGAAAAAAATATGTAAGTACCAGTTATGAGACATCTGTGTGATAACACTAAGCCATTTTCACTTCCTAAAAGTATACAGAGTGGCCAATGATAATTTTTAAACTTACAACTATTTGAACTGAATTTTCTAATTTTTTTCAAATGGAACACCCTGTATATTTTTGGACGGTGTGATGTAGAATTGAAAAAACGAACATTTTTGTACGTACGTACTCATGGCTATTTGAAACCATTTTCGATTTATTGAACGATAACTACAGAATTTAGCAATAAAAATTAAAATAATATGTTTCTTTGTAATTCAAGAAAAGATATTATAAAAAGTGTTACCCATTTTGATCGACACACATTTCTATGCGTCTTTAGAGTGAGGCTTCTACTGTTTATAAAATTGCCGGAGTGATACTTCTAAAAGCATTTATTATCCTTTCCCTCAAATTTTGGATTGTTGTTGGTGTGAGTTTTTATAGGCATCATGTAACACTTTTATTATAATACCTTCTCTTGTATTATTTGAAAAAAAATAACCTCAATTTTAATTTTTATTGCTGAATTTTGCAGTTATTGTTCAATAAATTGAAAATGGCCACAAATAATCATAGGAATGTAGTACAAAAAATGTTCGTTTTTCAATTCAATATCACATCGTCCAAAAATATACAAGGTGTTCTATTTGAAAAAAATTCAGAAAGTTCAAAAAGTTGTAAATTTAAAAATTCTTTTTTGGCCACTCTGTATACTTTTAGGGAGTAAAAATGGCTGAGTGTCATCACACAGATGTCTCCTAACTGGTACTAACATATTTTTTTTATAAAATCGATAGTTGTGATTGTAGTGATATTTTTAATATACACGTGTACACGGTATAATTTCAACAAGAAAATCTGTACATCCAAGTGGTTGGGAGAAAGTCAATAATAATACAGGAGTGAAAGGAGTCTACAAAAAAAGTTTCAAATAATGTTTTGATATACATGGCATTTCATTTAAAAAAATGTTACTTGTCCCTGTAGAACCGTCTTGGCTTACCCTGTATATTCGAAAACAATTTCCGGTTATAGACTTTTTTTTTGTCTAGTTTACTTATGTTTTTAAATCAAGTTTCTAGCTATTATAGAACTCGAGATATCGAAGTCGGACGCACTATTGCCCCATCCTGTATATCGCTCTCCTGCAAAAGCGTAGCTGCTCGTATCACATCATTAGGGTTGAGGTATCTTCTAGCGTTCATTAGAGAATAACAGATTAGAAAAACGTATATGTAATGTATGTTACAGTCCTTGTTTCGAATTTTTACTAAATCACACTGATTTCTGTCTACTCACACTTATAAAAATGCCGCTTGTAATGACAACAAATGAATTATGCGAAAATAAGCTAGAATGACAGTAGCCAACTTGATTAATACATTTATGAAATATTAGATGTGGATTAATTTTCGCCGAAAAAATATGACTTTTTGAAAAAGTGATTCTTTAAATGTTTTGAGTAGTTTATTTTACATTACTGTACAGTTTATTGTAATAGTAACAGCAATAGTGTTGTATTGTCTCCCTCAGCATTGCGTAACTCCAATGATATTTAGGGTCGTAACAAGATCAAAGATAATACGCTATAATGGAAATCACAAAACCCATTATTGCACAATGTATACGTGCATATACAAGGTATAATAGAACGTCATAAGAGAGCTGATAATACGTGACAAATTAATCAAAAGAATCTATACATATACATAGTGGCCGGTTTCGAGATACTTGACGCTTGAGCTCCAATATTTTCTTTTTAATTCTTTTTAGATCTTGGAAATGATTAAAGATACTAAAGTAATGGTTCGAAAGTAGTTTCACCTGAAGAGATTATTACTGAAACAAGTTTTGTATTTTTAAATCAACTATTGAAATAGCCAGAATAAACTTTTTACAAAAACACAATGCCTCACCTCTGGTCGCCAAGAATAATATTAGAATTAGAAGAGAGATTATCTAGTCACACTTGCCATCGCTCTAGCGAACTACTCCTCCCAGCTATTAATTATTTATATTTAAATAACAAACATGTATGACATATTTGGCATGTTTAATAGACTAATATCACTGTTGTTACGACGTTATCCTTTCAACGATGAAGTCCGATAACATACAATATTCTTAATCATTCCTTGCATTTGATAAAATTCTGTTTCGCATCCTAATGTCAATTCCTAAACTGACATGGAAAGAAAAGCAAACCCAGTTCTTTGATATATTTAATTTTATTTTATGATTAACATGAATAAAAGAAAACTCTCGTCCAATATCAGATTATTAATTCTGGACTAAAATATTCCTTTCAGCAAATACACAATTCCTAGGAACTACTTAGTGGCAGACATAGAATTTGGCTATGGAGGGAGGCGTAGTTAGGTAGGATAGTAGTAGTAACTCAAGCTACAATTATGCGACTTGCGATCATATTTGCAGAGAAATTAACGTTATATTAAGTGTAGGAATCGTTATCATATCACCCACGACCTCTGGTCGGCTAGACGACGTCGCTTATCAGTTGTTGTGACTAAAGTAAAATAGACCATTCTAACAACATCTAGCCGACTACAGTACCATAGACTGTGAACGTTAGTGTCTTGGGTTTATTGTTGACATTGCAGAAACGTCATAGGACTGAATTATTAACGTATAGATTAGAATATTTCTTGAACGTTTTATGGATGAAGCATCATGATGTGATACATGCATGATAAAGAGGGTGGAGAAGTGAAAGAACTAAAGCAAACAACATAACTTATACATTTTTGTTATGTTGTTCTATTATTCTCGTGAATTTCTTTCTTGGGTTCCCTTCTTAGTATCAATGGGAAAAAACCGGTCATCAAATATTGATCCACTTTTTACAACTAAGCAGTCGTATATGTTTCATATTTTAGAAGGATTCATACGTAAACACGGCCGAGGTTGCTTTACACAACTCCGCCATTTTTTCAAGTTCGAGGACAAACGTATATACCGTTGTCTGCGATTCTGATGTTGAAGTAAAGGGAAGAAATGCGAATTTAGGAGATTTTGGTCAATCTAGTTATGCTACTTGAAATTTAAAACCACTAAGTAATCATTACATTTTCTGTTTAAAGTTAAATCACTCAAATTTTAGTATCCAAGAAAAAGGGCAACAATAGTATATTATGTTACTAGGACGAGAAGGCGAACATTACATGTTGAGCCCAGAAGTTTGCTCAGCCGAGGCGCAAGCCGAGATTAAATCTCCCAATTCTTTTATATCATTAACTTTTATATGAACAACTTCATCGCATCTACAAGCTCCTGTGACTCCAAATATTAGTACAACCTAAAAAATATACTATGTTAATTTTATAAAAGTAAAATAATGTTAGAAAGAGCAAAAAAAAGTTAAAAGTACAGGATTTGAACCCATGCCTTCAAATTACAAGTCCAACACTCTGACCATTGAGTTATATCCGGACTTAATCAAAGCATTCAATTCTTTTTATCTATTATTTTCAAAGCGGATAAATATGAAATAACTGGAATTTCACAAATTATAACAAAATTTTATATTACAGTTATGAAAGGGTTACGTATATAATTTTAAAATGCGTACATACCTTTGTTGCTAAATATTTATCATTAGGTGCTTTATTAAGGAATTCATCAAACACTTCTTTAGACAAAACTTTTGACTTTTTAGGTTTATATTTTTCGCCTTGTCGCTTTAAAAAGGCAATTAATTTAGAATAGTTTTCAATTTCTACATTGTGTTCGTTGTTTAATTTAGATTTTACCATTAAATATTGCGACCATAAAATTGAACTTCCAAGTTTTTTGAATAAATGTGTAAAATATATTATCACATTTTCCGAATACATATGTTGTTGTCCTTGGCGCATTTTATAAATGTAGCGTACGCATTATCGTAAACTTTTTTGGATTTCGCGGGAATTAATGTTACCACTGATGAATTTGCAATTTCTAGTAATTCAGGTGGTGTGCATTGCATTTCTTCAGACATTTTTGCTTTTAAATTTGAAAACCGACCCAACATGAAATTTAAAACTGACAGTTATGACAAGTCATAGCTACTTAGATTTTTAATTCGTTGTATGATAGATACACTGCTGTGCAAAACTAAGTAGGGCAGCACTTATTACTTTACCTATAAGCGAGTTAAGAAGAAACGAGTATTAAAAGAAGGCCTTTAACTGGGCGACGGATGATAAATGATGGTTGAATACGATCAGCAATTAGTAAATTATCTGCGTGGAAAAGCAAATACATTTGTATTACATATATATTACAATACTACTGTCACGGTCCTACTTACTTTTGCACAGCAGTGTACATTGTTTCATTTTTGTCCTTGGAAAAATGAAAAATATTTGTATTAGTACCAAAATAGGCTCTTTCTCCAGGATGAGTTGTAATATATAATGTAAGTATTGTTATGAAGAAAAAATTATTTTTTTCTAAAAAACTCATCATCCTACAATGTCATTGTTTGACCTAGAACTGGTCCGTGTTGAAAAATGTGAGTAACACAAAGCTCTTAAAATTTACTGAAAACAACACAATAAAACACAGAAGCTCTACATTCTATCTATCTCTCTAAGATTAGGTGGAAACAGTTGTGGTGTTGTTTCCAGTAAACACCAGTGGTCCAAACGTCAGACAGTAATGTTTTTAGTTTGAAAAACATAATTTAAAACTTTGCTAATGTGTTGGTTCAAAAGTTTTACGCGCAACGTTAAAACGTTGTTGTTGGTCATCACTATTAGTCGTATGTCGACGCGGCGTGCAACGTTGAAACAAAGCTAAAATGCTGCTTGGGATAACATTGATTTTTCCTTTTTTTTTTAGAGTGTGGCGCAGAATTTGGATTTTGTTAGATATTAAAATTAAATTTTCGTTCGCGCCCCCCACACACTAAATCCACCACTGAAATCACTGGACTTTTTCGTAAGTAGATAATAAGCAATTTTAGTGGAGTTTATAATTAGATGTACAATTAAAACTTAACACCTTTAACGTCCTTGCCAACTTTCTGTTTTGAATTATGAGTTACAATTTTAATTATAACTTTAATTAACTCTAAAACTACCGAGATAACAAACTCGTTTATTTTTATGAAACAGAGACATTCAAATATAGCTTTTTACGGTTTTAACTTAGTAAAAAATAACGTAATAGAAAGATTTCGTGCCTAATTAATGGCCAATCCTTCCGATTTTGGGGACAGAACAAATAGACCCACTTTTGAGAGGCTTCGTTAAGGTCTACCAACAATGCATTTGTATGGGAAAGGGGAATAATCCTAATCGGTTGTGATAATCTAGAGATCATTAGGAAACCAAGATTATTAGCGAAGCATGCTATTTTCTTTACATGAAAAAATATCTTAAATACAATAAATAGCTATTTATGATAGAAGTGTTAGTACTGTCATTTTATTTTGTGAGTGGGGAAGTTTACGAACGAGGCAAACACGAGTGCAGCAACCCGACGAGCAAAATAAAATCACTTTTAACATGAGTTTTGTACAGTACTTTTTCTACGACAGGGACAATTATTAGAAAATTTATATGTTTAATTTGACGTTTAAAAAAATTAAATGAAATTAAATAAATATGACAGATTTCAATGTTACTTTAACAACGATGCAAATGAGTTTTATTTAATGACGATTATTGTTTGAACAATTCAATATTTTTGCTTTTAATATGCCTCCCCATAATATCCTATGTAGAATATGGAAACAAAATAATGTTGTGAAAAGATTAGCTCAATATTAAATGTAAATAAATTAGATTGGCTCAATATCTATTGAACTATATTGGGATGATATTGAAAAAGTACATCGTACAATATACCTAATATTTACCCAATATCGTTGAGCCAATCTTTCCACAATATTGGATCTATATTAATTCAATATTGTACATATGTACTATGTACTTTTTCAGTATCATCCCAATATAGTTCAGTCAGTATTGAGGCAACTTGTTCACATTTTATATTGAACCAAACTGTTGACGACGTATATTGGTCCATTATTTTGCTTCCATATTCTACATGGGATACCATTTTTAATGCGATAAGCCAACGCTATAGGTATATTTTTAATAATACATAAAAAGTATAAATTAGGCAACCCCCAAATCCAAAGCCGGAGCTGCACAAGCGGGATTACACAACGATACGGTAAAAACAGCACTGAATTCCAGAAAGTGCGCATGTGCCGCTCAAAGTGTCATGGCCGCCGTTTCCGCACTTTCCGTGAAAATAACCAAACTATAATAAAGGGCAAGGAAAATAAAGAAACTATAATAAAGGGCAAGGAAAATCTTACTAACGAACTAAAAAATACTTATTAAAAAAAAAAAATAATAAGTTTGTGATTCGATCCCTGGACCTAGCGCGTGCTAGGCGAGTATCTTCTCTATCGTCTAATGAGTTCCTTGATGATAAACAATTCCAAAAGGATTTAATACATTTTGACATGTCATGTAACTGCGCATGCCCTGCGGCTATCTTAAAACGGAATCCAGAGCTGTTTTTACCGTATCTAGATTACACAGTTGAAAAAATTCGGACACACAACTATCTCTTTAGACTTTGTCAGGGCCGAAGCCGGAATTTGAACTCGGGAGTCGGTAGACAATAAATCAACTATGTTTTTCAATTAACGCTCTAGCTCTAGGCTACAATGTTTTAAAAACAAATTATGTCCACAAATATTACATCAACACGATGTATTGATATTATGTTCTTCAATGAGACTTTGCATCTATTGTAAGTTGTGTGTGACCGGTTTCGAAGAAATTTCATATGCAAGTCTACTTTCGTTCACTTATATTGAAATCATTAAAAATTTAGGCATCTTCGGAGCCGGTCATATATTCAGTTTATAAATTTTATCATTCAAATTTCTATAAAAAAATAGTCTAATGGGTTCAAATCTGAACAACTTAAAGGCCAAGGAATAGGTCCACTTTCACCCATCCAAATGGATTTGGATGTATTTCAAAATGAAAGACATACAAGGCGCTCCTCTGGATTCCAAAAAAGTCTCGAATTGATTCCAGTCGATATTTTTGTGAAAGAAAATTTATTTAAAGTTCTTAGAGTTAGTTATATTAGATCAGTTCTTTTTCTTGTTTTAAAACAATAGTATACTATACAGGGTGATCTTTAAGTGCGAGAAAATTGAGGAAATAATTCCTGAACCTATATTGAAACAAAAAGCTAAAATGAAGTTTTGTCCCTAACTGTGATGGTGTGTCGATATTTTCAAAAGAAAAAACTAATTTTTAGAATTTTAATATTTTAAAAGTGCAGAAAAATAAGATACTGCTTCGTAATCTATGAGAAAATGATATAAAATATTGTAATACTTAAAAATTAATGAAATAAAGAAGGATTTACTTTTACAAGGACATGTACAACACTGGAGAATTTTTTATTCGAAACGACACATAAATGAAAAAGAACTTTATTTTTTAAAAAAAAATTCATAAGGTTTAACGAACTAGTTATTAGACTTGAAAAACAATAAATCTTACAAGGAAATTGTAAATAATTATAACAATGCGTAAAGTAAGATAAATTGCCGTTAGTATTGTTTAAAACCATAGAAAATAATAATTTCTCCAGATAAAATATTTTAGATCAGTTCTTTTTTCTTGTTTTAAAACAATAGTATACTATACAGGGTGATCTTTAAGTACGAAAAAAATTGAGGAAATAATTTCTGAACCTATATTGAAACGGAAAGCTATAAATTGCCGTAAGTATTGTTTAAAACCATAGAAAATAATAATTTCTCCAGATAAAATATTTTTTAGCATTAACAAATTATGTTCATTTTCTATAGAAAATGTACGCTGTGATTTAATCAGTCAATGATACTAACTGCGACTTAAGAAACTTGAGGGTATATGAGAAAGTAATAATATTAACTCGTCTGGACCATGCCCGTTGATCATGCTATTCTAAAATAAGTCCTATCGACCGATTGTGAAAAAAATATCAGCGAAAGAAAAACAGAAGACGCTCATTCAATTTCAAGTACCTTAATGGTATAGTTGGAGTATAAACAACACTGGCAATGAAAAACCAACATGTTAACCGGCAAAGAACAAAATACATATTAAAACGAGAGCCAGCAAAGGGTAAAATAAACAATAAATAATGAAAATGAAAATAGAGAACCGGAAATTTTTTTTTAAATTTTTCTAATTAATGAGACCGTAAATCTATAATAAATGTAACTCTTGTTTGTTATTGGTTAAATATTACTAATGTATTTTTTTTTCTTAAAATGTAGAATACACGGTGGGTAAAAAAATTACCAATAATTGAAAGCAGAAAACTTTGACATTTTCGATTATTTTCATTGTCGTGTATGTTTGTTTATTTCGTCAGAAAATGTTATCAGAACAACACGTTTCTAATAAAAGTTATATG